TACATATGTTACAGGAAGGAAGAATTTATACGTGAAGTTAACAATTTCTGTTTCAAATGTCGCGTGAAGAAGTGTCTGTTAGCTGCTATAGAATAGAATCAGTTAGATAATAATAATAATAATAATCAATAATTCGTGATTATTAACATATGTTTACTTATATTTGTTTATTCGGTGACAATACGTTTTTCCTTGACTTATTGCAAGAGCGTTTTCTTTTGTTGAAATGACACAACATTTTTCTTGCAGCATTGAGCTATGTCAGGTGGTGTTAAAAATCGTCGAATTTCACTAGGTTCACCCAAGGATTTGAAGGAGGTACATTTCTTTGAAGAAGAAACAATTCCTGATGTTCCAGAGAAAGGTGCTCGTGTTAAGGTACAGTCGTTAATTCCTCCTCTATTCTATCATTCTCTTGCACATAATTCAGAGGTCAATGTGTCATGTCGAGTTAAAGATGAAGATAACGAATAATTATGTCTAACTCCAGATCATAATAACAGTTGTCACGTGAATTATTTGATGTGATGTAATACAACTGAGTCATTCGTACAGTTTTCTAGCCACGAATTTTCTTGATGTTAATCGTTCACTCCTCGTTGTTTTGGCTTTGTGGTTCAGATAGATTTCAGGATAAAATATGTAGAAAAAAAAGTAGGAATAGTCTTTAATGTTGAAAAAAGAGAGACAGTAGGAAATGCTATTAGATTACTTCCACAGTTTATGCAGAGGATAAATATCAGCATTTCTTTCTAAGATTTTTTCTCTACATAGTCCGTATGTTTAGGAAGGTTTAAGCAAAGCCAGAAAGCACAAGTCAAAAAAGTGGTGAATTTTCTCATGGGTAGTAAAGTGGTGGATTTTTTCTCATCTCATAGGTAGTAGTCGACAAATAATTGTAGGGAATCTACATCAGTTTGCAATATCCGTGTTTGGTACTTTTTATAATACGCAAGTTGTTGCCTTGATATCCATCAGTCTTATTAATGGTACATAATTTGCATTTTAATGTTTGAAACAGAAAACGAAGTTAATCATACAACAATTTTGAGGTGTGTTACGCTGGAGTATGTCTTACGGATCGCGAAGTTACAAATACGAAGCAGGCAAGAATTACGAATGGCATCAAAGACACGAGTCTTTTCCCAGGTTAGTTTTGTTGTTTATTATTGCACTCGATGCTTTATGTGCTTCTTTTCAGGATTACCTTCCGATTTGTCTTTTGCAGTTCCTCAAAAGTTTATCGCGTATGACGTTTCCAAACAAATTAGTTTTTCTTTTAGGATATGAAGTCTCTGGTGTAGTTGAAGCATTTGGTGATGAAGCAAAGTGCGCGGAATTCGACTTGAAAATTGGAGACAAGGTATGTCTGCGATGAATAGTCTCACATTTTATAGAGTTCGTTATCTGCACAGTCCTTTTGACTTGTTCGATCGTATTTGTCTATTGTGTATATTCGGAGGTCAAGAAACATACTTGCCTAACTGCTGATCATACTCCAGGTAATTGTTTGGCCAACGGATGAAATGTGCCAACATGGCTATGCTGACTATGTCACAGTACCTACACTGCAGTTTCTTATCAAGATTCCGGATACTCTATCAATGCATGTCGCTTCCATCCTTCCAGCCGGTGCTACTTGGGCGCTTTCTGCTGTTATTCAAGTAATTCGGTTCACTTATCATTTGAATGCTTCGACCTGCAAATTAATGTCTCTAATGGCATTTCAAACCTTGTTTTTCAAAAAACGATGAAAAGAACATTTTTCAATAGCGTGATACACAACGTCATAATGTAGTTCTAATTTAGCAATTAGTTTAAAGGGAATCCTCAAGCCATAAGCGGTTTTAGTTTATAAGTAGAAGGAATTTATTGTGTAGCTCACTTGCCTAGAACTTAATAATATCGGATATATTTCAGGCGAATGAATATCTAGAACAGTACTATGATAGTAATAGGGGTTATAACGATAAGGTGAATAGTTTCATAGAAATGGAGGTTTTTAGTATGTTGTTTTTCTACTAGTTTTTTGCACTGAACTACTTCGGTTTCAATCTTTCTTTCTTTTTCAATTATAATCTGATGCGAAGGGATAATAAACTTAGAGATTTTGCAGTCTCAGTCTTTTAGGATCGGAAGTTTCATTAATTTCAAAAATTATGATCACTAACATGCATAATCATCCGATGCTCCGTGTATACATCCTTAATTCTTTATCCATATTTCTTACTTACATGTTGTTGTTCTCCAAAAATTGTAGCTTTTGTTTTTTCCTATAGGCACGTCCAATTGTTGAAGCATTTTCACAGTCAAAAGGTTTCTGCAACATCCTCATCGTCGGTGCTGGTGGTTTAGGACTTTGGTTACTGAAGTTGGCAAAACATTTTCTTTCCGGACATCAGGAAAGAAAAATTAAGGTTAATTTACTTCTTCCATTTCTTACTGTTTGTGTACAGCAATATTTACTGATTCAGTTTGGCGTTACGATTGGAATATGATGTCAATGATATATTTGAAGACAGATTTATGACAAGTTGCATTTCCGGTAACCATCACATTTGCGAATTGATGGGTGTACTGATTGTTTTGCAAGATATTTCAACTGTAATTTTCATTTTATGGAGTATTTTAGATTATGGTAGCAGATGCTCGTGAAGAACGTCTTTGTCTTGCTGAGCGTAATGGTGCGGATTTCGTCGTGCATTGGGATGATTCTGGTTGGTTCAGTTTTTATTTTCAGAATACTCTGTAGAGTAATGGTTGTCGCAAAATGCATATTTTGTAACATGTATGTCAGCTTTCATAAGGAAGCTGGGAAAGTTTACGTTGAATCTTTTGAATAGATGTGGAAAATTTTTCTTCCAGAATTTGAGGAATATCTCATTATGAGAACTAAAGATGTTGCTCGTACGGGTGTTCAAGTTGTATTCGATTTCGTCACTTCGCCACGTACTGTTACTCGTTCGCTCAAATGCCTTGCTGAGGTAAACATTCATTAGCCTTTTGAAATTTCTCAGTTAAATTGAATCTAGCAAAACTTATGACTTGTATTTACATTCAAGTTTCTCATAAATACAAGCATGCTTGAATGTTTAAAGTAATGTTTAGGGTGGTGTGCTGTTTGTTGGTGGTCTGTCGGGTCTCGATGTACAGCTTCCTATTAAACTCGTTGCTCGTAATCGTCTTGCAATCATGGGAGTTACACGTGGTTCCATCGAACAGCTCAAGAATCTTGTTTGTTTAATTGCTGGAGGACAGATAGATGCTCCGGACTACAGAGTTTATCCGGTCAATCAGGCATCACAGGTTTGCCATCAGTCATTTAGGGTTAATCTGATCCCTGTCGTTGAATCTTATAATTTTCACAAGGATAAAAAACTCCCTCTATCTACTACTACTAATAATAATATAGGTTGTGGGAGATGCTTGGTAACGGAAAGGTTTTATACCTTTCAGGTATGAAACCCGATCGGAAAAGATATATTCCTTATTAATTGGTAGCCGTTATTCTATGTGACAGAATTTTTTGATTACGGGGTAAGGGTTTATTACTTAACTCAGGATTTCGTTTCCTTTTCGACTAACCAAACAATAGCATATTTTACAGGTGTTGAAACAGTTGAGTATGTCAGAGGTTGAGGGACGCGCAATTCTGGAAGTATGCGATCCGAATACGGCACTCGAACCCGTTGTGAATCCGTGAATATTGTTGAAATGCATTTGTTGCTGAGATGCGTCGGGTTTTGGTCGTTCTGTTTTTGATCGGTTTTGATCCTTTTTTTTTCGATCCTTTTTTTTTTTTGTTCATCTCAAGATGAGCATATTACTGTTAAAGATTTATTACTACAAATTTATCCATCACTGTTACTCTGGATCAAAATTTAACTATTCGAACTCCAGAAATGGTCCATTACAAAGAGCTAAATAATGAATTCTTTTCGATGGATTTTAATATAATTTGCCCTGGGTTAGCAATATTTGCTTTCTTTCCTTACCAATGCTAGGAAGGCTGAATGAATCACCTTTCCATTATGTTTACCTTACCTCTTCTGTTTAATTTTACGTATTTGACATGTTGACACATGTTGTTCAACCTTTTTGTCTTCTATAATTTTAGCTTCAATTTAAGGAGAGGTGAGATAACTTACTGGACTTGAAACAAAAATTTCATTTCTTCAAGCAAATTTTGATAGTTTTCGTGCAGAATTTCTAAGTACTCTTTTTGTGCCACATATGGCCTAGTATTACAAGGGATGTTCTTTTCCCTCATCTTTTCATTTAATGTAGTTTTAGTTTATCATCCCGTATGCTTATCGTGATCTGTGTATTATTTCGTCAAATGCTTCGACTTTTTTTCTTTTTCATCTGTGCATCGATATACCAATAAATTATAGAACTGACGTACTGCAAATCGTTATTCGTACGTGTGCACAAGTGTATGCAGTGTATTAAGAATAGGGATTATTCATTCGTTAAACTGTTGCAAAAATGTATTTTCGAAGATGTGATCATCAACATCTATGTCCAAATGTACTTTCGTTTACTGGATAAACATATATCCTCATGTGAAAAGCACCTTGTTTGTTTCTTTTTTCCTTCAGATCCAGTGTTTACATTTCGTTTATCAGTTTTTTTTTTTAAATCAAAGATACCTTGCTATACGTTATGATTGGAAGTGTAGGTTATTTGAATTAATTTTACCCTGTTAGCGATTATCGTTATAGCATTTATCTCTTTTATATAGTCGAATAAAGTCGGGTTGTTCAAGCTCTTTGAATTCACACGATCAAACTAAGAATGGATTTTAGGATGAGAACAATGAACATATCAGATACTTTGTCGTATTGTTTATTTTAAATGTACGGGAATTAACCAGGATTCCGGTTGAGTGTCGAACGTTTACGCAAGTTGTTGGTGAAGGTGTACCGTATCTGAGTTATTTGAGGAAGATGCGCTGGCTTGATTTCTAGTCGCATAAAGTATTTTTTAGACAAATTAGTTTTCAGCTAGTACGTTCAGGGCACACACTTTTTCTGTGTTTGGATGAATGGCACTGGACTTCAGGATACTCTCAAAGGTGCGGTCGGCTCGTCATGGACGACTCAGGTAAATTTCTGGAGATAATGATGTGTTCAGATATCTCATACAGTGATGAGTGTGAGACTTCGTGACAAATGGACTATAAAAGATATGATATGAAAGCTGGCTGGCAGCAAAATTGGATTTATTGGTGATATTGAATACTTTAAGGTTATCGCGTGCTGATGTTGATACTCCTGTGTTCATGCCGGTTGGAACGCAAGGAACTATGAAAGGTTTGCTACCAGAACAGCTCTCAACAATGGGGTTTCGTTTGCTGCTTTGTAATACATATCATCTGGGTCACAGGCCTGGTCACAAAATTGTTCGTAAAGCTGGTGGTCTTCATTCCTTTATCAATTGGCCGTATTCAATTCTGACTGATTCCGGAGGCTTTCAGGTATATTTTTGGGTTCGTTGAGACTTAAAATTTCATGATTTATTACATTCGGCTATTTTTTAGATGGTTTCATTGAATGATTTAATGAATGTGGACGAGGAAGGAGTCAATTTTGAAAGTCCGCATACCGGTGAGAAGATGATTTTGAGTCCTGAAGCGAGCATACAGATACAGGTAAGAGGTTAAAGTGTTCAATTTTGTTCCCCTTATCAGTCCTGTTTGGTACATTTTTTGAAATTTTTGAATTTTCGATCACTTTACCCAAGTCGATTTATTTGTCTACTTATTGTATATTTATTTACTTATTTGCTTATTTTTTCTTCTGTGCTGCATTCTATTATTCAGCAAGAGTACTTGAGTGATTAAAAAAAATTTGGTATAAATTTGTGCAAGCCATTCTTTTCCAAAGCTTTGTTTTCTTTCCTTTCTTTTGGAACTGTTGCAGGAAGACTTGGGAGCTGATATTGTAATGCAGTTGGATCATGTAATACATGTACTTCGTGAAGGACCCATCGTTGAGGAAGCAATGGAACGATCGATAAGGTGTGTGCATTATTACCTAGGACTGAACAAGTCCACTAAAATTTGAAAAATCAATGGAATATTGATCTAAAGCGGCTTTTAGTTCATGCATTTCATTTTTTTCAGATGGTTGAAACGTTGTCGTGGTGCGCATACAAGGAAAGATCAAGCCTTATTTCCTATCGTACAAGGTGGTTTAGATCTTTCTCTTCGGAAAAAATGTGCTACAGCTATGGTACAGCAAGCGGAAACGGGCATTGCAATTGGTGGTTTAAGTGGCGGTAAGACACTAATTCTTTTTTTTCTCTTTCATGGAATTTTGTACTTTTTATGCATTTCTAACATTCTACCTATTAGACCTCATTTCATATTTCACTACTGCCTGCTATATTTTGTTAAAAGTAGCGGGAAGTTTTTTGTCATTACATTAGTGTTGACGAATAGATCCTATACGTCATGCAACATTGCCAAATTTAGTTTAACCGTTCCATAGATTATAAACATCGATCAAAATGTCTCAGTGCGCTTACACTAATGACGCCTTTTGAATATGGTCCTTTAAAACTTGAGCGAAAGAGGCTTATGATGTTAACCGTAAAAATATCCAATTTAAGCTGCATGCTAGTTAGACTTGCGATAATTTTTTTCCCCACTGATTTTACATATATGACTTCACAGCACTTTTTTTTTTTCACTTTGTAACATTTCGCGAATGGTTTTCATCTCGAAAATGTTGGAATGAAATGTTTATTTCAATGTACAGGAGAAGATAAAAATTCATTTTGGAGAATTGTTGCATGCTGTTGTGAGAATTTACCAGAGCATCTACCACGATATGTGATGGGTATCGGATGGCCTATTGATTTGGTGATTTGTTCATTGCTGGGTGCCGATATGTTCGATTGCGTTTATCCAACGCGTACCGCAAGGTTTTCGATTCATTATGCTTATTACGAAATACTTAATAATAAATTTTCAAGAAATTGAAATTTACGAAGCAATGAATTGATTTTGAAGGTTTGGCACAGCAATTGTGCGACGTGGAGGTATGCTGCATCTTACTCGAAATGAATTTGAAAATGATTTTCGACCGATTGACGATAGTTGTTCATGCCATTCTTGTCGAAGTTATACACGAGCCTATATTCATTCCATACTAAATCAGGTACATTTTGCTTTCTAATGGGGAAAAATCGAACAGAGAGAGAGAGAGAGGGAGAGAGATGTCAATTTAAAGTCTACATTAAAAAAGAAAAAATTTTTGCAGGAAACTGTTGCATGTCACATTATCTCAGTGCATAATCTGCAGCATCATATAGATCTCATGGAACGATTGCGCACTGCAATCGACACAGATGCAGTACAAGAATTTTTAAAAGAATTTTTGTTGGAGCAGTTTCCAGATGGTAACACACCAAATTGGGTTCGTGATGCAGTTGCTCACATGCATTACGAAATCTAAATATATGTGTGATTGTTACTTATCATTTTTGTTAAAACTTTTAACATTAAACACAATACTTCTCTTATTCCCTTGTTTACACTGCAAAATCATAAATCATGCAATCCTTGAATGTCAAAATTTGGGATTATGGTTTTACAGGGATATAAATTTCCATTACATTCTCATAGCTAAAGGCTTAAAGTATGAAATGTTATGATTTGGATTGGAAATGCAATCAATTTAATGTATTAGATTAAATATGAAGCTATTGCTCACACTCTGTAGAGTGATTAATTCGAGAAGTGTAAGATCATCATACAAGATACCGCGCTTTATTTGCCAATATATCCGAACAAATATATTGCTGCCTACATGTGTGGAAGAAGTTAAAGATAAGATACAAATAAATTAGCATAATCCTAACTTTATTGTTCTAAGTCACATCATCAGTAAGAGATTTCTACCGAAATCCAAACATTGCTTTAACATGTAGGCGACAAATAGTCATGACTACAATTTTTTTTTTTATTTTTGTTGGATATTGTTTGGCTTTCTTCTTTGATATGTCAAATCCATTTGGTTGTGTTATTGCTATTCCAATTCGTTTAGAATTTCGTTTTGTGGTATATCGAATTCCTGAAACATCAATTTTCTTTTTTTTTTTGGTTAGTGACAATTACGTTTACCATATTTTTGATTTTGTTATATTTTCGATATATTTTTGTCTGGAATCTGAAATTTCTGAAAAATTTTGAAATCCTTCAAACTAATTGGATTTCAACAAAATGTTGGATCTTATGGGGATATTTGTAAAGAAAAAAAAAAAAAAAAA